ACTACCTCTTCAGAAAAAGCACCAAAGGCTTGACCCCCCACCCTACCCTCCCCCCTCTCTCCAAACTTTCTTACTTTGAGCTTGAATTAATCTAATAGATTTAAATGCGTAGCATAAATTAATAAAACAAATTGAAAAAAAAATTAATTTTCTCTTATCTCAAATAGCTTGAACAAAATCCCCTCCCAGTTGGTTAATACATCACGATAACGTCTGTTTTTGCCTACGACAAAAAGGTGACTAATTAACTAATAGTTAAGGCACTAAAAGGTCTGTAAAACAAAGAGGAAATTATTTGAAAAAGAAGCAAACGGGAGATAATACAGACAGTCGTCGTTCAGTGATTAGAATAAATGGAAATTAGTGAGCTGCAAACAGTAGATGTGCGTTTTCAGATCGAATAAAAGTAGTGTTAACGAACAACAGGCCGAAGTAAAATTCATCAAGATTGAAGGAAAGCAGTTGACTATGCTTGCTTAATGCAGTTTAGCGAAGTAGATATTTGAATTGGTTTCTATAATATCTCGAAAATATATTTTTTTTAATAAGAACTTTCAATTCGTGATACCTTAGTTATACTCAATCGTGGTGTACGATAGACTTACCTCCACGTGGCGCACCCTGGGCAACGTATACTCATACGGCAAAAAAGTTTATTAACCGGCAGTTGACTTCTCACTTCAAACTACCATGGCACAACTGCATGTCAAATTTTACCACTTTCACAGTACTCGCCTTACCCTACTCTCGACCTTTGTGTCTGTCTCTTTTACATCTTTGAAACACTCTTCAAACTTTGTGTCTGTCTCTTTTACATCTTTGAAACACTCTTTTGTTCCCCCCCCCTCCCCCTCTCGACTTTTTTCACTTTGATGTTTTCCACCTTTGTGTCTGTCTCTTTTACATCTTTGAAACACTCTTCTGCTCCCCTCCCCCTCGACTTTTTTCACTTTGATGCTCCTTCCCCCTCGACTTTTTTCACTTTGATGCTCCTTCCCCCTCTGTGAGGTCTGAAGTCAACTAAAGGGCTAATGATAACTATCAAAACGCCTGCCATTTGATGTAAATTTTTTAAATTAAATTATACTCAAACGAACCTTACAAATTTTGTGAAAGAGAAAGTACGCCACAAGTTAAGCAGAGCTCATAACTGATATTCCACAACATGTATTATGAAAAAATCGCATTCGGCCAGCATGCTGTTTAATAGATCATAAAACCGCTCAAACCCCTAAGTACAACTACTTTCAGAATTGGCCAAGTTAGATTGGAAATATCGTCATTGAACTAATGACAATAAAAGACGGGTGGAAATGAAAAAGAGGAAGTAAAGGGAATTGGAAAGAAAGGGAGAAAGAGACGTCAGTAATACAAGAAAATCGTCCAGTTTGACAGACGGAAGAAGTCAATTAGGCTTGAGGCGTTGATTGTTTCATACAACGTCATTCATTGTGTGATCTAAGGTTAGGGCAACCAATAAGAAATCAGTGTCTGAAAATCAGATATGGGTGAAGGAGAGGGAAGAAGGGTAGAACTAGGAGGTAGGACGCGATGATACTTAAACAGCAGAGAAATAAGCATCTAACATTGGCCTCGAAAAACAGATAGGCATATCAATCACTATATCACTTGAACGAGACACGCAAACAAGATATATGCCACAAAAGAATAAGAAGAGTAATAATCAGTAATAAGTCAATAGAAATGCTGTGCAATGAGCGCATTCGAGTTAGTTTAAAGTGAAATAAATGACTTAGTGGTTTTTAGGGTAATAAAAAATCAATGCGAATACAAACTCGCGCACTTAATAATAATTCTTTCCGACACCCTAGTCAAAATGAGAAGTCGATGCACACGGGGAGCTTATGGATAGTTCAATCAGATGAACGAAAGTGAATATAACGTTAATTGAGAATATGTAACTACAAAGGAAAATTATTTGTGGAAACCGAGGTTACAGCATTAGCTCCACAGAATCGATAGCATAGCCAACTTAAGTTCAAATTTTACAGAAAGCAAAGTCACAATTGTAGTGAGTTATGCGAATTAAAAAAAGGGCATACTTACTTATTTCAAAATTGGGAAAAACGAATTGACAAATAACAAATTTTGCATAATAAAATATGACAAATTTGAAGAAAACTCAGGAAAGCAAACAACATTTAGAAGACCACACATATTTACCATTATTTATATTCTTATTGCTATTCATTAGGAGTGGTGAAGAGAAGCATTTTTGGAATTTAAAACGCCTTTAAAATTTATAAATGAAAATAAGGGGCGAAAGTAAACAGGATTGAAGAGGAATGAAAAAAGCTCATTATCTTTGAGAATAAAAAACTTGAATTTGATAAATCTTAAGGAAAATTTGAGAGCGTAAAACGTTGATAATAAAAAACGGTCTTTGAATTAGTACAAAAAGAAATTCATTTGATATTGTAATAAAAAGGTGGAAAACGAAGCATAAGTTAGCTTGATGCATTAATGTAATTAACACTGGGCTAATTAAAATTCCATATAGGGTCTCTAAACGTTCTCTGCCCAAAAAAAATCAGAATGCCATCGTTCCGACAGAAACACAATAAATTTGCTTGGATAAACACTACTGGGCGTTTTTAAGTAGACTTATAAAAGCATCAAAACATTAGGAACAGAACTTTCCAAATAGTAGTTTTAACCTAAAAAAGACTTATTTAAGTTCATAAAGCAAAAATTGAACCTATTTGAGCACTAAAATCATAATTTGACAAAAGAATCTCTCTGCTTGCATCGCTGAACGCAGATAAAGAAAGCAAGTTGATTCATAGTCCATTTTTCCCTAAGAGCAATTAGGAGAGTGTTTACCTAAAATTTTCACAGGAAACACAAAAATCAAATTAAGAAATTTGCGAAAAAAAGAGAAAAATGTATCAACCAATTAGGTGGCATGAGAAAGCATGCAAACACAAGGAAACATCAATTGAAGCATAGAGTGGGGATAAGAGATAAAGACATGGATAAAAGGTGCTATTCATTGCATTTCGTTTTACTTTAGCAGGTTTGAATTGTATGAAAGCATCTGAATAACAGTGAGCAACAAGCGAGTCTAATGGGAATTGAGAGAGCTTTGGAGATCAAAAAGAAGTAGAAAGAGAATTCATGGCATCAAAAGTACCACTTTATTTGAATTAGACTAGCGTTGAGTTGTCCGTGTTTACATAAGGAGTATAGTTCCAATACTCAAATTTCTGAAACTGATGAACAGATTCATGGAGTTAATTCTATCTACAAGATGCAGAGCACGTTGGCCAGTCGAATCACTTGCATTACTTACCACGAAATAACCATTTTTAAATAAATAAACAATATTACCGTTTCTTTCAGTATTCACAAGGGACCTCTTTTTGCATAATCAAACATTAATTATTATCAACCAAAATGTACAAACATGACTAAACAGACTTGTTCAAAAAGAGTGATGTTTTTTGTATTTCACATGAATTCTCCTGTTTAAGCGCACCTTATTTCATTTCATATGGTACTACTTTGTTCTAGTGCATTCGATTTGCTCGAAAATAGTAGCAAGTGGAGAAGAAGTTACAAGAAAAACTACGCACCTTTCCATAAGTACTGATACTTACCGAAGAAATGAGGGAGAAGCAACAGAATTGAGCCCAAAATAGACAGTTTTTAACTAGTACAAATGACCGAAAACTTAGTACTAGTGTAAAACTCAAGGTATATTCTCGAATATACAAAAAATCTCTAAAAGAGTAAGATCGATGAGAGAGAAGTAAGAACAGAGTGCAGTAATTGAATAACCAAAATTGAGTAACGCCAAATGAATATTTTTTGGGCACTGGTCCAAGATTTCTTAAAACAGGAATGAAACCACATAATTAGAAATCAAGTTTTGAACTGAGACTAAAACCAACTTGAATTTAAGGCCAGCACTTGATCTAACGCAGGAATTGATTTTTATTGCAGATTATTAGCTTTAGTTAAGCGAGGGAGAAGTGAATAGATAGGCATGACAAAATAAGATCAACGAATAGGAAATCAATCTGAGAGCACTAAACTTCTACGTAATTGAATGAGGACAAAAAAATAAAAAACCGATTAAGAATTAAAACCAATACGGAAAGATTATTAAAAAATCTATTTTAATGACATAATACTGTGATTTTAGCATCAAACTAATGCGATACTCTTTCGAAAAAGCACTCCAATCAGTAATTACTCTCACCAAAAATGTACAAACCTTAAACTAAAACGATGTTTTCTTTAACAACATTTTCGTTAAGAGAACAAATTTATCAGCACATTCAGGTTTAAAGTTGGCTGAATTCAGCCCTATTTAAAGATAGCTTATCTTTGGATTTCCATTTCATTTTATCCTAAGGCCTTTATGCCATCCGTTCAATGGCCTTTTGTGATCTAAAATCCAAGTTTCTAGCCAGAGAAGACAGAAATCATAGGTTCTGCTACTGGCCAATGCGAACTATATTTCATAATTCATAGAAGATCAACAAATCGAAGGAAAAGCAAGAGTTTCAATAACGATGTAGAGAAATAGTAAAATTCAATTATTTTCAAAGGGAAGGATTTAAAAATTATACACAATTGGATTTTCTCCTTGGCTGATTTAGAGAAAGAAGAAGTTAAGAGTTTCCTCTCTCTCTCTCAATTTACAGATAAATGTTCGTACTATAAGATCTTATTCTTGCTTATACTACTTACTGCCTAATAATTAATTTCGGTTAAAATAAATCCCCACTTAAAGCATATCGTACCTAAAACCCCAAAGACATCAAATATTTATCAAACTTGCAGAGAAGTCATTTACACCTAAGAGTGTCACATAATTTGCGCTTAATATTACTACTTTAAAAGAAAAAAATTAAAAAGGGGAAATAAATAATGATAAAAGAAAAATAACGATAATAGACGAGAAGCCAAGGATTTAAAAGAACTATAAAGTAATAACTGTGTTTAATAAATATTTGAAGCGCAAATAATGACTAACTTTTCTCTGAGAGGACGGAGAGAGATGGAAGAGCAAATTTGCAGAGAGTGGCCAGGAAGGTTTCTCGTGCATCAACAACACCACAGTAGCTGCTAAGCACAACCATCGAAGTCACCGCCAAAAGGAAAGAATCTGTGAGCTTTTCGTCAGCACTGTAATAGTGGGCACAAAGTTGAGTCATAGTTCAATGTGATTAGGCAATTTCCTATGAGATGTTCAATCATACCAAGCTTCAAGTAGAAGAGAAAGTGCAGGCAAGATTGCAGTCCATGAGATTGACAGCATTTTGAATTCCACCGGAGGCTCTTTAGAGGGCTCCTTTTCCCAATTTTTAACTGCCTCCCGAATCAAGTGTTGCAGAGACCAGACAATTTGAACTAGACAACTGACTGTCATTCTGAGAGAATAGCCCTCAGGAAGTACAGGCGCTTCATGTCTATCCAAAACTTCCAACCTAAAATTGTCCGAATGGGACAATAAATGTGGCAGCAAAGCAATAGAGAAACTGCTAAGCTAGGAAACATGGCTTTAAGAGTGAAATGTAGCAAAAAAGATATCTTTACTTTTCACAGCTAAATCTTTAAATGTTCATTCTCCTTTCCACATCAAATATAAAATCAGTAGAGTAAATTTCCCTCATGGTTTTAATACCTGGTAAATTTTGCCAAAATAGCGGGTTCTAATAAATGTGGGAACATAACAACTTACAGTGCAAACTTTTGTATGTCGGATACATAATGACTGACTCCTCTGTAGATAAAAGATGGTTTCTGGGTGATTTGAGATCCCGTCGAAACAGATCCCACCGATTCTCGATCTAATGAATTGGAAAAGTTATAAGTTATCCTCTACTGATTAATAGTTAGTAGATTTATTTAAATGGACTTACGGGAATTTGGGGTAAGGAGCGTCGTTTGTACAAATGTACTTACTGTAGTGACCAGAGAGAAGAATATTCGAGATGGTGGTTCCATCATATCGAACTTTAAACAAATATCCCTAAACAATGACAAACACAATGGTGAAATACGACCCTGACAAATAAAGTAATTAAACAAAACAGGTCTTACAGGAGGAGATCAGGTTGACCGATAATCTTGAATATCACCTCTAATGCAAGTGCACGGCGCCACAAATTTCGCTCATTCTCGACTATTCGCATTATCGTAGAGATCAACATCTCACACTCCGTGTTCTAAAGGAAAGTAATAACTTATCATAGCCAATTAAGTACTTCAGATCATGGCATCCATAACGCACATAAATTACACCCATTTTATGGGATTTCAAAAGGAAATGAGCATATGTCAAACTTCCAGTAGTGAAAAATGACCTCGGTAAAGCGTGAAGAAAAAGTACAACAAAGAACTTAGTGATTGCGTCGTTGTGGGTTGATTTGGAGCTGACTTAAAATGAGCAAACATCAAAAACACAACACGACTCTTATCTCGACTAACAATGAAGTAATCAGTTCGATGAACAAAAAAGAACAATCCCAAGCTAAGAATAGTTGTGTAGAAATAGCTTTCACTGACGATCAGGTGCATCGATAAAATACCTTTAACGTAAATTGACATTGTAGGCAGTCAATAGCCATAAAAATTGAATTTGAAAATGATATCTAACATTAATGGCAGTGTGCGAAAATTTTACAGCCTCGTAAAAAGTAACCGCTTTGGTGCCATAACAGAATCCGGTAACAGACAAGCCATTTAGACCCTTGAGACAGCATGAAGGGACTATGTAACAAGAATTAACTCAGGATGACGGATAACAAATTGGAAGCAAGTAATCATGCAGGAATTTTCCCTTCTTAATGTCGCCCCATTAGCTAGATAAACATTTTGAATTCACAATCCAACTCATTTTTCAGATGCAAATTTATATCAGTATAGCACGCATTATTTAAGAACCAAGGGGTGCGTGATAGACTTACCTCCACGTGGTGCACCCTGGGCAACGTATACTCATACGGCAAAAAAGTCTATTAACTGGCGATTGACTTCTGGCTTAAAACTACAATGGCCCAAATGTATGCCATATTCTACCACTTCCACAGTACTCATCCTACCTTTCTCTGCCTTCGTGTCTGTCTCTTTACATCTGTAAATCACTCTTCTATTCCCCACCCCTCGACTTTCTGTTACTTTGATTTTCCTTCCCCCTGTGAAGCCCGAAGTCAGGTAAAGGGCTAATGATAACTATCAAAAAGCCTGCCATTTGAAATAAATAAATTTAAGAACCAAGCATAATACAGAAAGTCGTTCAGTTACCAAGCATTCAAAGTACTTCGAGCAGAGAAGAATTATGATACGGTTGAGTCGAACACTGACACCAAACTCTGTGGATCCAGAGTAGGCATTCCCAACACCAGAAGTAGAGCCTTCGATGGCTGAATCCCGAACTCCGCTCCTCTGAGTATCAATGAGAAGACCAGAAGCCGTCAACTTGATGATCAGGGCACATACTCGTTCCTTCAGCAGATACAGGAACTCCTTTTCCTGAAGTGACAACAGTGGAATCTAACTTTCTTTCCTCCTAGACTACCAAAAACACCACCAATGATCGAGAAACATCCTATCAACTGTGATCCAATAGTGGCCTGTCATTATTTATTCTTGATAATGCAGTTATATACGTCTGAATGCTAATACTGACTTTGTTCATGACTAATATGGCTTTATAATTTAACTAACACTCTTAAAAATATCTATAAAAACCAACCTTTCCATGCACTAAGACAAACAATGGTTTCCTATTCGATAACATTACAATAAGCTAGATATCTGAATTTGGAACTCAAATTAATCACTACAGGATGTAGGTAAAATCCAAGGCTATTTCTCCTCCCAATCTGAGTGAAGTGAATTTTATCATCAGTGAAAATGGTACAGCCCTTCTAAACTTCCATGAAATACGGTGGATGACTGTTCAAATCCACAGATGAGCATTGCATTTTATTCAATGACACTGACGTACATGCGACCACCACAAATTTTCAAGTGCGACCGTAAAGATCTCTTGATATTGTCGTTTATACTATGTGAAATAGATAAATACGGCTCAATATGTAGCAACATTAAATCTAGTTGACAAATAAAGCAAAATTCAATACTTTATTGACATCATCCAATTATAAACACCAAAAAAGTAGGAATAAAATTGTAAGCCTACCGAAGTGAGTGATTTCAAACACCTGGCATGTGTGCCTGGGAATCGCTCTCATTAAGTGACCAATAATGGCATTGACCTTACGATACCGAGTGGAAATTTAGCAAATGATATTTAGGTGATGTTTAAATGAATAAATAACAAAAAACATACTTATTGATTTTCCTGATACTGTAATTCTCCCTATTTCCCGAGGCCAATCGTCATATTATCACTTAAATACAATATGAAGATTTGATAAAAACTCACTTGAACATAACACAAGATATTTATTGCCTAAGAATTCATACAGTTGATAAAGGAATATGGGTAGGAAAAGCATTAGCATATGCTGATTAAATGAGTGCAAAATAGACACCACATTAATCAATCGATTTAAAAGCAGTAAAGTTGTTTTGTGACGAGCTTGAGGCAATTCAAATCTCATAAATAAGCTTTTGAAAACTAGAAATATAGTGGCCTTAGTGGATTCAAACAGCCGACAGCCATTTTCACTTATAAACCACTGGCTATTAAGAACAAGCTTTCAAATTCCAAATTCCAGATAAACTAAAAGTAAATTATTGGAATTAACACTTCCATAAATATAAATACTTTGAAATCCATAATAATGCAATAAACGTTACAGGTGAAGTGAATATATAAGTTGCTTATTTTGTACAAGTAATGAATTATTTATAGTCTAGGTAGCGTTGGGCTACCTTTTGATGGATATTTGAACTAAATTGGCACGCCTTAAAAGGCCTACGTTGGAAAGAATCTCCAAGGCAGACTTGAAATCAAGTCACTTTTGTTTCACTAGGGCCTGGACACCTGCAAGGCCACTATAGCTATATTTGGGAAATTTATGGTCAATTTCTTGCAGCCGGTTGGTGTCAATTTTAGTTCAAGAGATCTAGAAGGGGCAACAAAAATCCAAATAGATGTGCCAATATAAAAAAAGGAGCTGCACATTTTGCTAATAACATATTGAAATCCCTGGTTGAGTCAAACTCTCAGTTAAGTATGGAAGAAACAGCACAGAAACACGCGTGTCCAGGGACAAGTATGTGAGTACACTTGAAGTGCATCAACAAAAGTGGGCTCAGAAGCAAGTGCATTTCTTTGCTGTCTTGACAACAGAGAATTCGTCCTTCTTAAAAACAAATTCTTATTGAGGAAGAAAGGCGCAGTCATGAAAAAATGGCTCTCTCCAAACCAAACACCTGTTATACCCCCAAAGCTAGGGTTAACAGAGGAGAATTCTTCCACGCATTTCGTGAACGTATGCGAAATAGCCCATTACAAACAGGACGAAACAGTTACGACCGAATTTTATTCCTAACCACAATCGGGGAAGACTAAATCAAAATTTAACAGCTAAACATCCAAGTTCATTTAACAGAAAAGAGATCCTTCTTAAACATGGCTACGATCGGCCCCACAAGACAGGCGTAACCTCTAACAAGTGCAGGAATTAAATTCGAGAGGCGTCACTCAACCCATTACCACCTTTTCATGGCATGGAGCAACATCTAAGAAAAAGGCAATTTCGAAATGTGACCGGAGTTGAAAAGCAATTAGACTGATATTTCAAATAAAAATGGGATAGAAAACTGCATGAACAATGTTAAAGAGATGGGCATGGTGGCAGGTGTTACGTAACATATACGTAATTAAGAAACAAATTGCATTTTAATATTGTTTTAGAATATACTACTTATTATTGGTGCTAAAAAGTTATTTCAAACCGAAGCGCACTTTTCAATGCTTGTTTTCCACTTCAAGATAGGATATGGGAAAAGTAATATTTATATGACAAGTAACTAACTCGCACAATAATGTCACGAAGTCCACAAAATGAGTCACTAACATTTAATGCACCTATAAAAATCTACAGAACATAGGACTACTGGGTCAACGTAAGAAAGAGCAATGCAATAAATTGATATTAATACAAATTCAATCAGCATTAACATAATTAGTTCAATAGAAACGGCTTTAATGAGAAATAAATTAAAAAAATAGGTCAATACCTTTGAAAAGAGAGTGACGTAATTACAGAGAACAGCTTCAATCAACTCCAAACCCAGTAAGGGAGAAATTGACTCGACTCCAAGTAGCCAATGAGGAATTTCTCCAAACGTTAGAAGGCAGAGGTCCTGAAACGGAGCAAGGGCACCACAATCATCCAGTCATGTATGTCATCATAATGAACCAAGATAGGGCAAAAATATCATAGCAAAAAATAACTGCATTCAGTTAACGGAAACAATAAGAGAATAAGGACATGGAATCAAGAATACACTGACAACAAAGTCAAGGTATCTAAAATCCCTTACCCCATTCGATTCGATTGTATGCAATTTACTTAATGGTTACCTCGCTTACCAAAATTCAACTTTCCTAATTCTTCCATTGGATTGCTGAACCGTGGCGTCCAGTTCTTATTAGCCGAATAGTTCCACCACTTCAATTCATTTTTGCTTTCAAAAACAAAGAAAGTATGGCTCATAAAGGGCAATTCCCTCATTATTAAGGAGATATTTCGGCGTTTTGCGATGGGAATCTGATGTAATAAATAGCATTAGCCATTATGCCGCACACACACACACAGTTGGGTCTCGAATATGGGAGTTCCGACTTAGCCGATTATCAAATAGGTGCACACAAGAATATGAATGTTTTAAAAGTCCTCAGCAATTTACGATGAGTAGAGAGGAAAGAAACAGACACCAAAAATATAACGCAAACCAAAAAATTTTGATCAGAGATAATCAGAAACTTGAAAATGGAATGAAAAATGATTTCGAGAATAGAAAACCAATTATAGGAGCCGTAACACGATAAAAGTATAAAGATAAGGTGCACACTCATCATAGGGAGTTTAGCGTAAGTCACACCCAACAAATTGATAGCAGCCTCCATAATGGACAATGTCCTATCCAATCCCACAATAGGATCAATAGCCCGCCCACATCATGATCGTATCAAGCATTATTACTCTATAGAGTGTAAACCCTTATGCGCTCAATCTTTTGCATCAAACATATTCAATGAAAGTTAAGTGGACACGTCACTCCATAATTGCGATCAGAGGTGTCACAATGTCGAAACTATACTATAAACACTAAATGACAAAAATAAGCAATTACATTTGGCTAATAAACAATAGAAAATGAGTCTATCAATCAGTGAGTATCCCAATCATCTATTCCATTAGCGTTAAAAAAAATGAATCAGTATTAAACCAGTGCTGATACGTATTCATGATAAAACCGTTAAATAATAACATGATAAAAAAAAACTAGAGAACGAGCTAGAGCACTTCGTTGGCATAGGAAAAAAAATCAATAGAAAACGCATTTTTAAAGCAAAGAAGTGATAGAAGCAGAATATGAACACGTAAACACGCATATAGTGACGTGTCAAAGTATGTAAAAATAGGGAGACGTAATTTCTGTTTAAGTTAAATAATAACAAGCAAAGTATTGAGGTCTAAAACATTAACAACAAATGACAAACGAGAAAATTTGCCATAATAGGACGACAACTTACTTGAAAATAGAAAAATGCGCTCTTTGAGATGGGTGTAAAATGGAATGCATCCGCTTTGTCTCCAGTTTGAACGTTTTCAGCCGGTGAAGGAGATTGCATAACTTCCCTCGCGACCTGATCGAAAACCGACCCCGTACATTGCCGAATGGCAGCAGCTGCTGTGTTAACTACAGAATTGGTTTTACTGTTGTGTAACCGTAAACATATTCCCAATGCCTGTTAACAAATAAAAATATGTACTTAAGTTATTTAAAAAGGTTTCAATTAAAATATTTTCGAACACACTTGAGATAGAATAACGTCCGGTAAGGATTGACTGGCTGTGACAAGTAGAATAGTTGTTTGCAGCAATTTGAGCTCTTCTAACTCGGAATCGACCATTGTGCTTACAACTTTTAGTAAAGATTCCATGGAAGGCTAAGGAAACATTAAAATGAATAAGCCTGCGACATACTTCCGTAAGAACCTGAGATGTTATTAGACGCTGGATTGCAGTAAGACAGATATTAATAATCTTCGGTTGACCAGTCTCACATCCTTTAATAAAAGGATTGGAAATATCGAGATTATGCTCAAGAAGATCTAAAAATGAATTTCTAATGGTTAGATTTACAGATTCGAATGTCTTGGTTTTCATTCATTAACTCTTTCAACCGCTTTGACTGAGCTTCGGCGCTCTGAAATAATATTTTCATAATTACGTTAGGCTTACGTCTTTGATAGGAATGAACTTTCTTTTTGTTTCATTTATAACATTTCGATAATCCTGCTGTAAGCGCTCCACAAGCTGGATCAAGTTGAGAACTTCAGGCATGATCACGTCTTGCTTAATAAAATATTTTAATTTCACTTAAAATTCAGAAATGGTAACAAACCAGTGCAATAAGCCTATTTATATGAAAATTTAGTAAACACACGCCCAAATTACTCTTACTTGGCACTCTTAGTATAGAGACGCAAAACAAGTAAAGTAAGTGAATGTAATTAGTTAGTTATTTACAACATATTTTATTTACTCAAACCTTCCTTTTATTTAGCCGAAATTTGTTCCTCATGCTAAAGTAAAATTTTTTAATTTTTAGTTTGGCAAATGTCGTTCCTTTCGTAAAAACATTACTGATATTTTTCTTAATTAACTACTCCTATAATCACATTAAACTTGAAACAAGTAGCAATAAAAATTGGTCTATTTTACCCATAAGGGATGGGAAAATGATATTTTGGCATAAAAAAATAAAGCAACCAAAATTTTTCGTCTACAGAATATTCCATAATTTCCTACATTTGAGAAACTTTATAGGTATTTTCTTCATGTTCTGTCACTACACAAAGCTGCTCTTCTGTTATTTATATCCAGTCTGTGACCTCTTAATGTATTGGAACATAGCAAGAGGTATGGTAAAAATACCATAAGTATTCAATGGCTATTTCCTAGTCTGCATTTTGATCTCAAAGAAGAACGGACAAATATTACTAACGACTGGCATGATACATATATAAGAAAATAATGTCTTATCATAAGCATATCAACCAACTTTTAATACACGGTTCTTTTGGTTCTCCTTTAATGAAATGAATGCATTTGCATTACCATTGTAAACTTAAGCTACCTACCAATACCGAAATGAATACTACGAAAAGGGCATGTCATGGGAAATATGCTGCAATATTCTGTGAAATAAAATACGTTCCTTATGCAATAGCTACTGTATCGAAATTATTTACCCATCCCACAGTACGCAAGAAATATATTCCTTTGCCTGTAACTGGTGTGATCATTTATATTAGTTTCAAATTTACAAAATATGTTGAAACCGTTCATCAAATGATTCCTATTCCACCGTCGAATCATCATTCGATATTTATAAGGCTAAAATTATACCTAGCATAAATCTCTGTTTCTATTTCTACTCATAAAGTCGAATTTTGAACAGAAAATGCCTCAGAGATAAATTTTATTAATTTGTATAAAATGATTCAAGATTTATTTTCACCAAAATATCTATCTGCATAAAGTCTTCTATTCATCCAAATGCATGTCTATTTTCTCGATTGTATTCACCAATGATGTACAACTATTGGTGTTTGAAGTCGCTTTTGAGCATCAATTTAGTAATGGGTGTTTTGGATCCCATCATCAGTTGCACTCATCTGAGGTTTTATTAAATTATTGGAGGCATATTTTATTAGCTTTACTCATGTTTTTACTTCCAGAGTTAGTCAGAATCTAGATCATTCTTCTGGAAATATCAAGGTATATAGTCAGCGTTTACGTCATCGATGAATAATTTATCCAATTTTCGGCATTTGTCCCATCAGTTAAATATGAATAAGCCACAGGGTTAATCTCGTGGAGAACACAATGCTAGCATGGCTGAACCAGGGAATCCATTGCACACTCGAACATGCTGAAACGCGTGGACGTTATGCTGATCGTGCTAAGCAGCAAATGAGGTCACGAGTGCAGAGACCTCTAGACCAAACAATTGGCAATAGGCCTAACAAGGTCAGGGTACCGCAAACAGTATCTAATGATTAAGCCCTATGTAAGCACAACACAGCCAAAACAAACATGTTCCACGTCATACGTCTGTTTCCTTTACATCGTCGAGGTAGCTTATCTAACCTCAGGAGCAATTTCAAACCAGGAGGTTTTGCCATAAATATTACTGATCATAATTAAGGACCTTTTAGTATATCAATACGCTACAATCTTATCGCCTTTCTATTTCCTGGTATTTTGACAAGCATGATTACCTTCAAATCCTAGGATTGGTAGTAATTATTTCAAAATTCAATTTTGAGAATTCATTCTAGGCCTCATTTGACTTGATTGCAGAGAGAAAAAAATACATACCTCTATTTGCTAGTGAAGATAAATCTCGAAAATGCAGTAATGTATCTCTATACCGATATGGAAAAATTGTATACCTTTGGCTGAATTTAAAAACAAGTTTGCGATTCAGCACTGTGCCACTTGAGCCCCAAATCAAGATTCCGGTAAAATACGCCTAACGAAATTTGCCCACCTCTAAAAATGATAAATAAGTGCTTTTTGAAATTTGAGGGATTGAATGCACATTTTTTCTGCTCAGTTTGCTCAATCAAAAGCTCCCTAGTAAATGTGTTTTGTTGTAAACTGTTTCAATGAAATCAAACCAGTTGTCAATTATTACATTTGTTGAAGAGTGTTTTGCTACCTAAATGGTTCCTATTTATTCATCTATATTAGCAGAAATTCCATTTTCCTCTAATCTTCTCTTCAGCAACACCAAGAGCTAGAGAGATATATATGGGTTGTGGTGTTTTTTAATTGTAATGGATTTATATATACCATCTAACCAAAATCTAAGTGTACTTCCCTTGCAGTGACCACAAATAATGGACATGAAGGAGCTTTTAGCAATTAAAATTATAAATCACATATATATATATATATATATATATATATATATTAACAATTAACCGCAGTTAATGCTTACAGATTTCTAAACAGATTAATATTCAAGTACTGCAGCTCTAACTTTCCTATAAAACCGAATAATAACCTCATTTTAATTCAAGTGGCCTTTTATCCTCTAATTCGATGTTGCGGCTTCGCATTCACCTTTATTTGCCCGCCATATTGCATCGTATTTGGCCAATATGTGCTATGCGGCGTATCCCACTAATGAATCCACTGTGATACCCGAAGTATCTTCGCCTTTCATTCCACTTTATAACTCTCTTAACGCCACTGTTTAGCCATCAAACAGAGCGCTCTCTGCACGAGGTCACGTGTAGCCAGCCGTGAAACATTAAACTTTAATTTAAAAGCAGTTAGGTAAAGCAGAATAAAGATCCATATCTTGAGATTGCATTGCTCTAATAAATTATAAGCGTACTCAAAATGTTGGCACAATGATCAACCAGCACTCCTACTAAAGGTAGATATCACGGGATTGTTGCTCTCTGCAAGTGATGTGGGTAATCAAGTATTCTTGTCAAATTTAGTAATCGATAAAAGCTATCAAATACCACTTATCATATTGTTAAAACCACCCTAATTTGGATTGAGAGGCTAATAATTGAATAACAAATTGGATCTGTATTGTGGCATTTTCCCCCAGATATGAGCTTTTATTCCCCCCCCCCAGCAGCAGTTAAATAAATTGTGAAACTTTTAATCCAAATAGACATTCTGTCAGGTTAACACCCAGCATGACCTCCCGGTTGATACAAACACTGTCCCATTATAGCAATAAAATTTCATTTAAATACAGGCTCAGATATGTTAAATTAGGTCAAACCACATTAAATAGTGCCTTTAACCAATCTTGAATCCAAATAATAGTTTATTAATGAAATTGAAGCGCAGATCAGCGTCATCAAATTTGAAATTTGTTGTTTATGAGTATAAGCCAACGTTTATTTTGTCACGAATTTTATTATGTAGCTAATTCATGGTACTCAGTTGGCCCATCTGCATTTCAAGTCCTTGATTGGTGTAGATAGGGCTCAACTAAAGTAGTCAGATAAAATGGTTATCAGGCCAAATTGGAAGTATCGCATCATTTGATTCTAATCTCTCTTAACTAACCGGGTTCTCTATCCTAGCTCATTAGTAACCTCCACTTCGTTTTTGTTCTCAACTCTAAAGACTTTTGGTCGATGAGAGGCATTCAGGTCACAGGGTTCAATGATTAAATTTTTTGTCATTTCTTCCATTAGGTTTTCTTGTTCTAATCTTTAACCAATATAGAATTAGTTTCCGAACAAATATCTGCTCTTCCTATTTCTAGTTTTCCAATAGTTAGAGTGCTAAGATAAGAATGTTGCAAGAATGTAACTTTTGATTCAAAATGACGCATGAATAGGCTCATGTTATCGCTGTGTGGGTCATCGTATGCCTGCATGTCCACTCGCCAAGTTTGGAGGTGCGGCCGTACAACTCTGTGTGCAGCGACCGTACGAACA